AAGCTGCTCCTTGGAGGCAAGGATTTTGAGACACCATCTCACATACTTGGGCATGTAGCCAGGAAGGCGCTATCTTTGGAGAAGGATGTCATGCTTGGAAGAGTCAAGGAACAGTGCAGGAAAGGAAGACCTTGGATGAGGTGGATTGATACAATAACTGGAATAATGAGGGTAGGTGAGTCAGAGATAGTGGGATTAGCTAGCTCAGGATAGAGCAGGGTTCCTAGCTATTGTGCATAATAGGGTCCCTATGAGTCATCTTTGGATGGCACATAAAGTAGCAACAATAACACTGCGATAAAGCAGGAATGTTGGATACTTCTATTCTTGCATCTTTACTATAGAACAAATGAAAATATTTGAAAGATTTATCATGCCTCAGATTCATTTGCCACAAAACTCTTGAAATGACAGCATTTACTTTTTATTTGTTGTTGTTGTTGTTGTTAAGTGCCACCGAGTCAAACATGACTCATAGCGACCCTATAAATACAAGACCTGAACCTTGTTCTATAATTACTCTTATTTCTCTAAGTTCATAGAGCTTCTAGAGGAAGTGGATGCCACTCCTGCTTCCAAGTTTGTCTTAATCTGGGAGCTCCACCAAACACTGTCCACTGTAGGTAACCATTTTGACATTAAATACACCAGTGTCACAGTGTTTAGGATCACAGCAACCCCAGGTTACCTCAGTACAGCAAATAGATAGACCAGTGCTGTACCACTTAGAAGAATGTTAATCCCAAACACAATTTACATCAGGTCCTGTTGACTAATTAAGAGGCTTCCTGCCCGTTACCAAATCCAGCAAATCCAATGAACAAAATAAAAACCAAGCAAACAGTCCACACCAGACCCTCAACCAACACAAAACATCCCATTATCCAGAATCCAGCTCCTTCATACATCAGCCTCCCAACTGGAGGGCCCACTGACTTTTAAATATTAACATCCTCCACCAGGTCCTGTTGCCTCAAAACAAGAGACTTCCTGCTTACAGCTCATTGTTAGCTACATCCAGCAAATCCAATCAGCTCACCCACAATTGTGAACAAAATAAAAAACAACCATACAGTCTACACCCGACCCTCAAAGAAGCTTTTGCGAAAATAAAACAATTCTTTTAACTAGGTTGCAGATCTAGAATTTTTTTTTCAAAGATCACGATGATCAAAGTGACAGAATTTGCATATTTTACTATAAAACACCTGCTCGTGAGAACAGATGCTAACAAGTAAAAGATTTGTATTTAATATGGATTGTCTGCCATGTGGGAAAACACTGCTGACTTTGTTCTTTCTTGCAGTTTGAAAAGTCAGAGTAGGTTCTTTCTTTTCCATTTTCCAACTCCATGTGTGTTTGCACATAAGATGCTTTGCTTTATCTTCTCAGGCTGCCTTTTGAAATCTTTTCATCAGCTCTTATTTTGCATTTCTCTCCTTTAGCATTAGCTTCTTTTCATGCAAGAGCAAACCATCCATTTTTGTCTTTTCTATCTTTTTAATGGAATTTTGTTTTATGTATGATGCCTCATTTCCTGACTGGACGTTAATTGTAGTTTAAGGTAAGATGAAGTTAACAGTTTCATTCTTTTCTCCACCCATCATGATGTTGCCTTTTGGTCCAATGGCAAGAGTATTTGTTTTCTTGACATTGAGATGCAGTTAACACTCTTAGTACCAGCAGTCAGGAAATAAGGAGACACATAGCACTGGGAAAGTCTGTAGTTAGGGACGTCTCCAAATTATTGAGGAGCAATGATGTCACTTTGAGCACTGAGGTGCATCCGATTCAGGCCATAGTCTTCAGATTACTTGTTGTGCATCTGAGGACAGTGACTAAAGAAGACAGAAGAATTATTGATGCTTTTGAGTTGTGGTATTGGAGAAGAGCACTGAATATCCCATGAACTTCTAAAAGAACAAACGAATATGTCTTGAAGAGGGTGCAGCCAGAGTTCTCTTTGGAAGCAATGATGATGAAGCTTTGCCTCACATACTTCAGGCATATTGCTATGAGGAGCTATTCCTTGCAGAGGGACATGATGTTAAGAAGGATGGAGGGCCAGCAAAAGGAGAGGAAGATCCTCAACCAGGTGGATTGTCATAGCACTGCTACAATGGGCTCTAATGTGTCAGAAAGTATGAAGATGGCTCAGGATAGGACAGAGTTCAGATCTGTTGCTTAGGGTTGCTAGTACTTGACTCTACTGTACCTAACAACATGTATGATGTCATCCCACAACTTGTCTGGTCTTCAGTGGTTAGTATTCAAAGCATCAAATTAAATGTAATGTTATCCACTGTATAGGCAGGGAGCCTATATACTGACACCTGATTTACCTGTGTTTTTGGTAAAAAATTAAGTCAATTAAAACTTATTTCTAAAATGCAGAATATAGTTATCTATCATCTACTCTCAAAGGACTGACATAAAAATTAAGTGCAAATGAAAATTTATCAAACCGCGTGACACATAAAAGGTGCCAATTTCCCACCTTTCCAGTGTCTTCCAGAGGTATGAAACACAGGTATGAAACATTCAAGAGTTTCTAGTGTTCCATGTGGCACTTAAATCTCACAGAACCATGACATTGAAAAGCACCTTGGATTCAGTATCAAGACCAAAGAAATGTCACTAGAATTACCTAAAGACTGCATATAAGTAATTTCAAAAGTAGCTGACCACCTTTTTTAAGACATTTCTACTCAATCCTAGATTAGCATTCTTAAATAAAATAAGACAGTATTGGATTCCTCCTCCTTAAATATCCTACAAGTACAATGTAAGTTTTCAAATATAACCATAATGTATGTATACTTTTCATTTCTTTTCTGAGGACCTATAAGCCTTGGGATATTTCTGAGAGATTTTGAGATAGATAGAACCAGTTGATAAATTAAAATGGAAGATGAAAGATATTAAAGTTACAGTGAAGCAGAGCAAAATGAGAAAAGGAAAATTTATGAGTTGAAATTCTGAAGTGGAAGAGTTGAAGAAACATGGTAAACCCTTTAAGGAGCCTGATGCAAGAGATGTGGTTATTGTCAGAACCCTGGTAAGCCACACACATTCAGAGTTTTAGAAGGCCCTTGACCTGTAGTTCTTCCTATTCCCTTTCACCCACACTTGACAGATTCGAGTATTGTAGTTTTGCCTCATCAGGTGTGATTGAACCACAAAGAGCTGTTCAGAGAAATGATTTTTAACATTTCTTTTCAGTGTTGCTTTTTCACAATCACCCAATTTTCAGTTTCTACTTTTTAAGTTCATCTAAAGGAATTGCTTTTTTTATATATTACCAAAGCAGTTTGTTTTCCACTGTTTTGAAATTCTGGAAAAGATTGTGAGCTGTTTTCTATTTTTCTTTATTACCATTTTTCTTCTTTTTTAATTTTCTTCAGATAAGAATGTTGTGGGTCTTCCTTTATAAAGGGAAAAAAGAACTAAATCTCCAAAGCGCGCTGACTGGTGGACATGGTTCCATGTCACGGTGAGCCTGTTAGTGAGGACAGAATAGAACTTTCTAAGACTGCTAATCTTTATGGACATCGCTTCTCCGTCCTTCATCCTTGGTCTACAATGGGTTGAGATTACTGACTTTTTGGTTAGTAGACAGATTCTTTTAATCGCTATTACCAAAACTCCATGTAGTATGAAGAGGAGTAGTTAAAAGCAGTTCTTTATAATTAAGGAAAGTTTGTTTCCTTGAGATTACTTTGATTTTTATGCTTTCCAAAAGAACGAAAGATCTTTCAAAACAACCCATACATCTTCCAAAAGAGAGCCTGCTATTATTTTTTTTTCCATCTTTTTATTTACTAACAATGAAAAGGGCACTCTGACAGCTAAGTGATAAGGCATTGTGCTGCCAACCCAAAAGCACATGGTTCAAATCCACCAGCTGCTCCATGGGAGAGAGAGATGGACATTTGTGTGATTTACTGCCTGTGAAAACCTGCTGGAGTGTTAGCTGTGAGTTGCTGTGATTCGATGGCATATGACAAAGACTGTAAAAATGGAACAATGAAGAACAACAATTCATTTACAAAAGATAGAATTTGTTGGTTTTTAATTTATACTGTCTTCATTGTTTCATCAAGATGAAATGATAGGTACAGGTTTAAAACCAAGTCAGAAAAATAATCCAGGTCTATATAAGAATTTTTTAAAATTTTTAATATTATTCTTGTTGTGTTAGGCTTATGCTAAAGACTTTTTTATTTAAAGCTTAGGAGCTATTTATCACAAGTTTGTAGTACAAATGAGCTTATAGAAATTGAAGATGATCTGTATTTGAAATGTAGATGAATACAAAGAAATTATACAGTGTTTTATTTTACGAAATTGATATTAAATATATAAAATACATTTAATATTCAGGCATTCATTTGTAAGACAAGGTAAATACTATATAAAATCATTATTGTAGACTGAGTATAAGGATCCAAGAGGGGTGGGAGAGGCTGGAAGCAGAGGGATAGGGGTGTGGATTTGCAGGGGGAGGGGGAGTTAATCATCGGGTTGTACAATTTGATGGGTGGTGTTGTGTGTGAGGGAAATGTAAAGAATTTGTTCGAATTTGTATTCAAATTTTGTGAATAAACTACTAGGGGGGAAAACCTATCTTGGATAAACTATTTATTTATGAATGAAAAAAAAAAAAGACATAATTTATGGGTTAGCAGCAATGCAATTGTGAAGCCACCCAGTTCTAGGCCACCAGCTGCTCTGCGGGAGAAGGATGGGCAGTTTCCTCGCATGCGATTAACAGCCTCAGAAAACCCGCTGGAGCATCAGCTGTGGGTCGGTTCTGACTACGGTACACAACAACAACAGTGGACTTTTAGAATTTAAATTGTATGTTTGCTATTGACAGCCTATTAGGTTTTCTCAACAGAACCCTTGTTATGCTTTTATGGTGTGAGTAGACGAAGTTTAAGAACTAATTGAGTTAATTACCAATGTTTATCTTTTCTTCCTTCTCTTGTTATTTTCAGAAAAGTGTGGCTGCCTTACGACAACTTGTTCCTAACTCGCAGAGCTTTATTCAGCAGTGTTTTCAGCAGACTTCTAGCGAGGTCCCTGCTACCTGTGCCACGACGGGGAGTTCTTCGGTGGTGACACCTGCCCCTTCGTCCGCCCAGTCTGAAAAGACCGCTGTTTCTGGGGCCACAGCCCCCAGACCTGTGTCTGTCTGCTCCCAGAACCCACCTGCGGGTCTAAAGGAAGCGAACAGCGGCCCTGCTGTGAGGCCAGGCGGAGCTGCAGCTGCAACTGTTTTGCTTCAGACTTCAAAACCGCTTGTCAATTCTGGACCAAACAGAACGGTGTCACTTCAGCCTGAGAACCCAGTTGTTTCCGGAGCGGCCGTATCTTTTGGAGAAGCTTCCACCGCAACTCTTTGTCTTCCTACTATGAAACCTGCTGCTGCTTCCTCTGGGACCCCATCAGACAAGCCTACTGTGGACACGCCTGTTCAAATCAAGCTTGTGCAGTCCAGCTCTGTCCTTCCGCAGGCAGTTCAACAAAAGCAGCTAGTGCGTATATAGTATCACTTTTTTTTTTTTAAAGTACTCGTTTATTTTAAATATTTTATCAATTTAAAGCCTTGAAGAAACTGACAGAATGAGTATAAATATTCTTACCCTTTAGCTATTTCAACCAACTGTTATTTTACACATTTGCTTTATTTTTCCCTTCTCTCTTCTTCCCTTCTCCACTCCGTCACTCCCCCTCCCCTCCCCCTCCTTCTCGCCCTCTTTCCCCTCCCCCTTCTTCTTGCCCTCCCCCTCTCCCTCCCTTGCTCAGCTCCCTCCATGTTTTATTGAACTGTTTGGAATTTGTGCAGAGATTATAACTGTCCATATCTAAATACTATATATCTCTCAAGGAAAAGAATATTTTCTTACATAACCACCAGATAGGAATTAATATCGGTGCATTACCCCAATCTTTTATGTAGCCAATATTCAAATTTACCCAGGTGTCCTTGTAATGCCCTTTATAGCCTATTTTCTGATCTTGCTACTGCTGAAAAAATCTAGTTCTTTTTAGACTCCTTGACTCTGGAACTAATCTCTGATTTTTTGTTTTTATTGTTCATTATATTTAATGTTTTCAGTGTCTAAGCTAATTATTTTAAAGAGTGGAATTTTTGTTATAATAGACTTCTTTCTCATGTTTAGCTTCAGTTTAAATATTATTGGGGGTGCTATTGAGTAGGTGGCATAATAACAAATCTTTGGAAGAATGTTGAGGGAAGAGGGGACAGATTGCAGTTTTCTTTTCTTCTAAACTTTGTGGGTTGTGAAGTTCATGGGGCAAAGAAGGGAATTTTAGTTAGTGTTCTTATGGTTTACAATACCTTACTTTTCTAAGGGAAGCCTACCGGCACAGTGTGTAATGTATCCAGCTGCTAACCAAAAGGTCTGTGGTTCAGTTCCACCAGCTGCACCATAGAAGAAGCTGGACAGGCTCCTCCCATAAAGATTTACAGTCTCTCAGATCCAGTGGAGGGTTGCCATGAGTTAGAACAGATCCAAGGGCAGTAAGTGATGTTGACTTTTTCTGTGCAAGACAAATTTTGTCAAGAGTACTATGAATCCGTTGGAGATAGTACATGGCAAGTACATGAAAAGTTATCGTTAGCTGTTTGTTGTAGTTAAGTGCCATCAAGTCTACCATGATTCCTAGTGAACCTGTGAGCAATAGATCGAAACCTTGCCCAATCCAGTGCATCCTCACAACCACCCAATCCAGTGCATCCTCTCAACCTCTGTTATGCTCAGGCCAGTTACTGTAGTTAGAGTGTCATACCACCTCTGATGACTTTCCTCTTTCACTGATCCTCAGTTTTTTCCAGCATGATGTTGATTTTTTCCCCCTAAGGACTGATACCTCCTGACAGCATGTCCAAAGTATGTGAGATGAAATTTCACCATCCTTGCCTTTAACGACCTGATTGCATTTCTTCTATACAGATTTGTTTGTTCTTTTGGCAGGCCATGTGATATCCAATACTCTGCCAGTACCATAATTCAAAGTCATCTGTTACTTTTCTTTATTCCTTGTTCATGTACATGAAGCAATTGAGTGGGGCGCTTCTTTAGTATTTAAATGACACCTTTGATCTCTCACACTTTAAAGCAGTCCCTGACAGCAGATTTCCTCAGTGCAATGTGGCTTTTAATTTCTTGACTGATGCTATCATGGGTGTTGATTGTCGATCCAAGTAAATTGAAGTAGTGTACAACTTCACTTTTTTCGCTGAGTATCCTGATGTCCATTGAAAACAGATACTGTTTATAGCATAGTTTTTCCCCTAAGCCCTAACAGAATTACTCTTTTTAAAACTTTTTTTTAATGAGATTTTAATGAAAGTTTATAAAGAACTTGGGTTTCCAGTTGTTCATTGTTGTTCATTTTCTTCCCTGTCCCCTCCTCCCCATTGCTTTTTTTCTTTGGGGAAAAAAAGTTCTTTCATTGTTATACAGTCATACCCCCACTACCACTTTACTATGCAGCTGTTCTGGACTCTTGTCATGCCAACAATACCTAATTATATATTCCTTTTATACAGTTGTTCTCTCCCTCGTCTGTTTCAATGCCCTGTAGATTATATATCCCCTCTTCTCTCAGTTCCTCCCCCCACTCCCCGCCCCCATGTCAAGTCCTGTTTTTAACAGTGGCACTATGCCGTATTTGTCTTTTTGTGACTGAGATATTTCATTCAGCATAATGTCCTCCAGGGTCACTACTTTTGAATAATAATTCATGGGTTCCTTGTTTTTCAATACAGCATAGTATTCCTTTGTGTGAATGTACCACAGCTTCTTTAACCATTCATTTGTTGATGGGCACTTAAGTTGTTTCCAACTTTTGGCTATTGTGAACAAAGCGGCAATAAACATGGGTATGCATATATCTACTTGGGTGGCAGTTATGGTTTCTTTAGGGTATATTTCCAGTAGTGGAATTGCTGGGTCAAATGGTATCTCTATTTGCAACTTTTTGAGAAAGCGCCATACCGCCTTCCACCAACAGTGAGTAAGGGTTCCAGTTTCTCTGCAAACTTGCCAGCATTTGTTTGCTCTTCTTTTGCTATTTTATCTATTTTGCTATTCTTACTGGGGTGAGGTGATATCTCATAGTTTTTTTTGCAGAATTACTCTAGCTTTTATGTGAGTATCCTTTTTGTGTGTGTGTGTGTGACTTATTGTTACAGCCCATGTTTGAATCTCCCTTTTTATAAAGTTTATATTTCTTCTTAGAATAGTAAAATCTGCTTAGTCAGACAGGGCCCAGAGATGCTTCTGGAAAAACCATCACGATGGCCGCCCAAGGAGAACTCCAGGTCCGATTGGTGGGTGATGGTGGTACTGGAAAAATGACATTTATGAAACAACACCTGAATGGTGAATTAGAGAAGAAGTATGTAGCCACCTTGGTTGTGGAGGTCCGTCCCCTCATGTTCCACACCAGCAGAGGACCGATTAAATTCAATGTGTAGGATATAGCTGGCCAGGAAAAATTTGGGGGACTGAGAAATGGCTATTATATCCAAGCCCAGTGTGCCATTATAATGTTTGATGTAACATCGAGAGTTATCTACAAGAACGTCCTAACTGGCATAGGGATCTGGTTCGAGTATGTGAAAACTTCCCCATTGTGTTGTGTGGCAACAAAGTGGACATTAAGGACAGGAAAGTTAAGGCAAAAATCCATCGTTTTCCACCAAAAGAAGAATCTTCAGTACTATATTTCTGCCAAAAGTAACTACAACTTTGAAAAGCTTTTCCTTTGGCTTGCTAGAAAACTAATTGGAGACCCTAACTTGGAGTATGTTGCCATGCCTGCTCTTTCCCCACCAGAAGTTGTCATGGACTCAGCTTTGGCAGCACAATATGAGCATGATTTAGAGGTTGCACAGACAGCTGCTCTCCCAGATGAGGGTGACGATCTGTGAGAGAACGAAGCTGGAGCCCAGCGTCAGAAGTCTAGTTTTATAGGCAACTGTCCTGTGATGTCAGTGGTGCCGCATGTTTGCCACTTTATTTATCTAGCTAAGCAGAACATGTGCTAATCTTTGGGATGCTGAAGGAGAGATGAATGGGCTTCGGAGTGAGTGTGGCAGTTAAAAAAAAACTTCATTTTTTGGACCTGCGTGTTCAGCTTTTTTGGAAGGCAGTTTCCTTCTTGAGTTTCAAATACAAGACTGCTACAGTCAAATCACAATATTCCGTGGTAAAATCTTGTTTGTTACTATCATTCTCATTCTCTTCGTTTAGAACCAGAATAAAGTTGTATTTCAAATATCCAAAAAAAAAAGAATAGTAAAATCTTTAAAATTCCAAGCATTGTTTGTGTGGTAAGGATAAAAGGTTAAAGTTTGTGGATGCTGGTCTTCAGAATCAGAAGGGCCACTTTGGACATAGAATGAAAAGGAAAGAAGATCCAGTGACAGAATTGAGCAGGAGTGAAACTCTTGCATAGATTTGAAGTGATTTCGTGTTGTTAGGAAGGGCCAGTCCTTGGAAAAGGACATCATGCTTATAGAACTGGGGTAGCTGTGAAGGGGAAGAAGAGCTTTGACAAAATGAATTGACACAGTGACTGCAACAGTGGGCTTAAGTGTGGCAGGGATGATGAGGATGGCACAGGATTGGGCAGGCTTCAGATCCATGATTCATAGGGTTGCTATGATTTGTGGTAGATCCACTGGCACCACCACCACCACCAACAACAACCTTTTTCATGTGACTTCTCAAGGTCTGATTTTTCAGACAAAGCAATGTATGTGCATTGGACAATTCTTTTGAGTTCTTGAATTTAATTTTAGGAAAGAAACATTCTTTAGAAACAGTGATTAAAAGTTGGTCTACATAGTCAGGTTTTGGAACAGAATAATGGCTTCAAGGAAAAGCCTTTATTCTAATAGCACTGTGCAGAATTGGAATCTCTAGGGTCTACAGCTAATTTGTGGATCAAGTCTAATCTCTAGTGAATATCTATATCATAATGGTCCCCTAAAGTGAAATAGTGTTTTATTATTAACTAAAATTTGAGTTTGAGTTTTAAAAAAAACAAAACAACAAACCAACAAGACTCCAACTTTGTGATGTGTCAGGGATAGGGAGAAAAAGAAAAAAATCCAAAATTTTAAATGACTTAATCCAGTGGCAGCCAACAGGTAAAATCTTTTTCATTAGGATAAAAGTGTCCTAGCAAGAACTTGTTAAATTTCTTGTATATCCTGGTACAGAGAACTGCATTTGTCAATACTATCTTTTTGTTGTTGCTGTAATTTGTGTGAAAGTTTACAGAACAAGTTGACTTTTCTTTCTACTGTTTATTCATATTTTTTGTTTTAAACATTTATTATATTGTTACAGCATTCTTTCTGCTTTCCTTTGTGATTCCCATCCCCAATACTCGTTGTATCCTGTCCCTCCATTGCTGCCTTCTAGTTTTATCCCAAAGCAAATGTATGGTGTTGGCTATAAATCTTTTTTTTTTTTTTGTAAGGATTTTTTTTTTT